TTTTCTGATCAAGTATCTTATTCTAAAAAAAAGGTTCTCCCAAAAAAGAATACTTTCGGATTTTTTCTAATTTTACTTTGGTATTGATTAGCAAATTGTAAATTTATAATTTGGAGCAATAATAAGCAAATGTCCATTCATTTTGATCAAAATTGTCTTAGTTCCCTCAAACATTTCAAAAACTGTAAACAGGAATTTTAGCATTCAACTTAGATGGCTGATTTTGACACGCTGTGAGTCGGAGGTTTGTGCCACTGAACCATATCTGACAGCAGGTTGACGCTCCTCGTACCGAAATTTTAACAGCTCACCGTGAGCAATAAGGTAGCATATATTCCCTCCACAAAGGGAACTGCTCGGGGACCCGTAGCACCAGGGCCCTCCATTGCTCTGCGATGAAGTTCGATTAGGTGTAACTGGATATACGAAAAGTAAATTACATGCTAAATCGATTATCAGCACGAAGAACCAATCCGATCTTTCTTCTTACAAGGTACGAAATAAATTAAAGACTTACTTGGGCGTAAATTTGACTCCAATCTAACGTTTCGAAGCACATCGACTTTATTGAGTCCAAATCCTTACGCAACGTGTAATGTTCCAATGATTCATTGGTATTGGCTTTGGCCACAGTTAGACCATTGGCAAACGATTTGACTGTGTTAAGGAACCCCGTCCAGCCACAAAACATTAAAAGATAATAATCATACCTTTATTTTAAGTAAATTACTGTTTATCAGACTAACAAAAGTAAGCAGAAAAGAACGTTCCAAGTTGATAAGATTATCGAGGGACAACCGGCAGTTTACCAAAACTACCGAAATGGATGTGAAGACACCCAAAGTTTTAATTCATTGCATACTTTTTTGAATTGCAAATTGATTATGAATACATAAGTAGGAAGAAACTTACAATGAAACTTTGGAATATGGATGGGGGCTGGAGGGGGTTGGGCCCTAAGCCCCCCCTTAGCCCGTACCTGCGTACGCCCATGTTAGACACTGCTCAGATACATATAAGAACGAGTGTTGATGAAAATATGTGCCTAGTCAAGTTAATCGGGTTGCGTAAGTTGGTGCAAATGCATATGTGTGTATGTATCAGTTTATTACAATGACGTCATTGGCTCAGCAAAGTATGTATTTACATACTCTGCGTTATGATAACAAGTAAACCCACACACTGCTTGCGACTAAGTGACTCATGGACTTCTACAGTTAGTTATGGTCGTAATAAATTCTCAAGTTTGTATATTATTATGTCGAAAAAAAACATGAGAAAAATTAAGGCAAGTACATATATATTACTGATTTCAGCTCTATCTTTGATTAAAAACATATTGTACGGTTTTAAAATATCTTTCACACAACAACTATGTATATTACATACATACAAACGTTTCCATATTTTTTTATTTCCATCGCATATATATTTGCTGTGCTTCCGTGGGATACGGATCCTGATAAAAAATTGGCACACAACAACAACGTTATGATCCTTATAGAGTCTGGTTCAATTTATGATCCGCTCTTTTTAGTTTGTGTCACTGATAATATGTCAGTACGGTTTGGTAGCACTGACAAATGAATGTATACACAAACATATCTATACCCAATTTGCCAAACGACGTCGTTTCCGACTCGTTTTGGTGAACAATTTGTTCGACTCGCCGGCGAACTCGCCGTAGGATGAAAAGCACACACACGCAAAAGCGACTTACCGGTGGGTCGCAAAAACAACTCGCCGGCAGCACGCAAAAACGATATACCGGCGAACTGCAAAACGATGCTCAAAATTTATACCAAATTTAAAAGAACTTCATACCCATCAATTTTATTTTTTATTAATAAGGCCAATAGAGTGAACTGTACCTTTATAAAACAAAATATATAAAAAAAATAAAAACTAATATGAAGAATATAATGAATACTGAAAAAAGGTGTAGGTGGCTAAATTTTCGTACAAGTGTACATTGTGGATTCCATATTCAGTCATAATAAAAAATTGTCACAATAAAAACGGTTTACTATTCAAATGAATGACTTTTATTTATACTTAGATATATAACAATGTCGGCCGCTGTGGTGTAGTGGTAAGCAGTGCGCGCTTCCACTCCGCAGGACCCGGGTTCAAACCCTGGTCAAAGCAACATCGCAAAAAATATAGAAAAAAGGTTTTTTCTTAACAGCGGTCGTCCGTCGGCAGGCAATGGCAAACCTCCGATTGTATTTCTGCCATGAAAAACAGCTTCTCATAAAAATACAATCGCCGTTCGGAGTCGGCGTAAAACTGTAGGTCCCTCCGCTTTGTGTGACAATATCAAGGCGCACGCCACAAGTCGGAGGAGAAGCTCGGCCAAACACTAACATATGTGTAAGCGCCAATCTATTATTATTATATAACAATGTGGGCGTGGAACTTGTTCAACCCAGACCGAAGGTTCCTCAAAAAACTTGTGGGTTCGAAACAACGGATTCGTTTCGAGTTCACCAAAACGACTTCGCCAAAGCGACGTCGTCTTCGCCCTGTGGCAAATTGGGTATATTTTGTCATTGCTTCTTTTAGCTTGCTTCAAATAAATATCCTTTACGCTAAATATTGGTTTAAGTGAATATTATTTCGTTTAAATGTACTTTTCCCCATTTAGTGAGTTCATTTTTATAATTTCGTCTTCCTCGTGCTTGTAGTATAACACCCTTATTCTAGAACCCGAATTTTCGTAATTCGTAGCTACGATACGAAAAACGAAAAATCCGCTTGCTGCACCCCTTGCGGAAACATGTGCAGCATTGCCAGCTATCAATTATTTTTCGAAGTCAATTTCGGAGAAAAACAAAGTGAAAAGCAGACCTGGGCACTTTATGATTACGACTACATTTTGATTACTTAGGATTGTGATTACTGTAATAGTAATCCTGAAAATTTTCAGCATTACGAGCACTGTAATTGTAAATATAACATGCTTGATTGCGAATACTTTAATTGTAATCCTTAAAATTTAACGATTACGACTACTACCACGTAGTTCCTAAAAATTTTAAGTTTACAATTCCCGTAATTGTAATACAGTTTTGCATCTCTTATTCTCTGCCCCAACATCAAATTAAAGAAATCACACGAAAGGGGGTCGCTCTATCTAAAACCTTGTTTAGTATGAAATGTCTCGAAAATGTCCTTCATAATTCTGGCGGAGCTAGTGGTATTTTTCAAAGTATTTTACTGAACCATATTATTTTTGTACTGGCGTTAGCGGCTTTGTAATCGAAGACTAGATGATAAGACCTTATACGACACATTAAGAAGGCTGATCCCACGGTAGTTGGCGCATATGGCTGTGTCACCCTTCTTGTGGATTTAGCGGAGCACACTTAAATTGCAGTCTGCATAACAGCTTTGATGTGTTTCAGCCGCGAAATTGCTATTCGTACCTTGTCATAGTCGGGTGGCGACACATCGACTCCGTCGTCTTCGACTGTGGCTCGGGTTCATCCCTTCCGAGTTTGCCGTGTATGATCTTACAGAAATTCGCTCTGGTCTTGAAACGTAATCGGGAGTTTGTTTTTCTACACAAAAAGGAATGAAGTGAAGACATCTATTAGGTCATATAAAATTTATAATTTTTTTATATTGAAAGAGTGGTCATGACGGTTGTATTATTCTAAGAGACTTTCTTCGATATATTGAATGGATTTTTGTATGTTTAGTTATGTTGCTACAAATAAATACAAAATACACGCAATGAATCACTAAGTACACAACAAGTTCCATCATGGGGATAAATTTGATTACGTATGTAGAAGAAAATAACAAAAAAAAAAAAATAACGACTGCAGCCATCCAATGTCTTTAATCTTATCTTGATGAAAATTTTAAATATGTTTCTATTTTTTATACATAGCCTGAGAAACAAGCCAAAGCCATCAGCCGCCTAACTGCAGCATCATAAATTCTGCAGTTCATCAACACATCCGCTACTACTTATTAGTTTAGCTATCGGTGTTATCTTGACAAGTGTTTGCTCTAATTCGCCAAAACGGTGTACTCGGTAAGTTTTCTGGTCTTATCTTGACAGTGAATCTGAATGAAGTGTGCCAAGATAAAATTTTCGCATAAAAGGCCAAGACTGTCGCAGCCACTTATTAGTAACGAATAAATTTTCGAAAACAACGATGACTACGACGAAATTCACTAGATTAGCCTTGCTGCTACTGGTAATACTTTTTAAAAATTTGCAAATTAAAACGTGTTTAAAAGAGTTTCAAAATGATCATTATGGAATAGAGTTTATTCAAACACTTAATCAATGCATTAATTAAAAAAACATCGATTTTCTGGGAGTATTCAAGAACAAAATTATCAGCATAAATTTTGCAAGTGTTGTGGGAAACTTATGAACTGATGAATTAAATAAAAATAAATTTATCCAAACTAGAAAAAATAATACATATGTATACAAAAACTAATGTGGTTTCCTTTTCTTTCGTAGTTCGCTTCTGCAGCTACAGCGCAACTGGCTCAAGGCATCAACTGCTATGGTAAAGCATACGTCTGCGTTGGTCCCCTCAACTATAAAGGCTGCGCAGGAGATGCTCAAGGTAATAGCTTTGCTACCGGTAACGCCATCCAGTGTCCACCCAATCACCGCTGCGTAAACGATGGCGTAGAAATTTGCATTCCACTTAAGTCGACCACGGCGGAACCTCAAGCAGTTCCTTTGATCAATACAGAGCCAAGAGCTTTCAATTCACCTTCAACAGAAGAACCATTTCAGTTAACTTCTTTAAGTTCCGATTCTACGAACTTAATAACCACTTCTACTTCACAACCAGCAGCTTCATCCTCTGCCCTAATTCAAGAAAAGCCAAGTATTCCTGCGGACGCAACCACCGCTGCTGGTGGGCCAATATGGACTACATATTCAACAGAGGATGCCATTATTTGGGATACCACAACAGATGGTACAACGACAGAAACAGATGTAAACACGCTTGAGCCGCAATCATCAGCTGTTCCAAACAGGCTATTATACTCCACTGTACTCCCGGAGGAAACGACAACTGTTCCAGCAGAAACAACTTCTTTTCCAAGCGAAGCCACAGACGCCACTGACGCCACCACCATCTTGGACACTGATGAGACATTGATAGCGACAATTACAGCTGATCCCAGTACTCTAGACGATGTTAACACTATCTATGTGACAAGTTCACTTAAAGAATCAACTTTAATTTCCGTCGAAACCACAACTGAAATTCCAGTTTCAGAAACAACCATTTGGGAAACTACTACAGGACTGGGCGATGCCACTATTCCCACAGGCGTTTATGATCCACCTTTCACTAGCAACGAGCTTAGTCCTACTGAGAATGGAATACAGGGCCCGAATACACCAGCCGATACCACGTCGCCTGTCGATCCGAGTACGCCAGTGAACCCGAATGGATCGCTTGGTCCCAATGAACCAGTAGACCCTGTGTCGCCCGCAGATCCAGATATTCCAGTAAACCCGAATGGATCAACTGGCCCCAATGCACCAGTAGATCCCGCGTCGCCCGTAGATCCGAGTGCTCAAGGAAACCCGAATGGATCAGTTGGCCCTAACGCCTTAGTAGACCCTGTGTCGCCTGTAGACCCTAGTGCTCCGGTGAACCCGAATGAATCAGTTGGCCCCAATGCGCCTGTAGAGCCCACGTCGCCTATAGATCCTGCTGGTCCAGTGAACCCGAATGGATCAGTGAGCCCCAATGCACCAGTAGGCAACGAGTCGCCTGTAGATCCGAGTGGTCCAGTAAAACCGAATGGATCAGTTGGCCCCAGTGCACCAGTAGATCCCCCTTCGCCCCTAGATCCTAGTGCTCCGGTGAACCCGAATGGATCTGTGGGCCCCAATGCACCAGTAGACCCCGCGTCACCTGTAGATCCTACTGCTCCAGTGAACCCTAATGAATTAGTTGGACCCAGTGCACCAGTAGACCCCGCCTCACCTGTATATCCTAGTGCTCCAGTAAACCAGAATGAATCAGTTGGCCATAATGCACCAGTAGACCCCGCGTCGCCCGTAGATC